TGAGCTGAATTTCCACAGGGTACCAAGCCTATTCAGTGGGGGAAAGGACATGCTTCTTCGACAAATGGGGCGGGGATGGCTGGGATCTGTATGCAAAAGAATTGTATCCTCTCTCATACTATATACAAATATTAACTCAAAATATACAAAATAGCTCAAAGGCCATAGTGGAAGACTTAAAATTATAGAACTCTTAAAAAAAAAAAAAGGACAAATCTTTGTAATTTTGCATTTTTAATGTGTCCTCATATAAAACACCAAAGGTAGTACTATGCATTTCTCTTTTAACACTGCTTTAAGTGAGGCCAAATAATATTGTATGTGTATTTTTGTTTTCTTTCAGTTCAGTGTATTTTCATTTCCAATAAAACTTAATTTTGATTCATGAATTGTTTCTAATTATGTTGTTCATGGTATTATCTTATGATTTATAATACTACAGTTTTGTTTTTATGTTTTTATAATCATACCATAGTAAAATGTGCTTTAAAATATGGTGATTTAGAAAAGCTTAAAATAAAAGTAGTGAAAGTATTAGGCAAAGATGAACAAATTAAAGCTACAATTGTGGTTTAATCTTAAACATAGATGAATTTGGAGCAGAAGCCATTAGGATCAAGAACATTTTGTAGTGCTAAAAACTAAAATTCACAATGAAGGTAAATAATAAATATCAGCACTTTAAATTACATGGCAAAATTCACAAAGGAAAAAATAAAAACACAGCCATGGTTGGAAAGGTAATTCACTTTTTCTCATTCATGACGAATCAAGAGATCCAGAATCAGATAAGGATATAGAAGACCTAAATAACATAATTAAGAATGTATCCCCAGTACCAAAAAAAGAGAATGTAGCTCTAGTGTATATGACAGAACACATGCATATACCCATACACAAGTACATATGCACAAAGCCAGATGTGGGATATACCATTCAGGAATATTGCAAAGCACTGATTATATATTAGACTTCGAAAGAACTCACCCTTCTGTAATTTCTACAAACTACCCTAGTAGTTCAGTTACTAGTAATGACCTGCTAGGTACTTAAGACCAACCCTCCCTAGTAAGGGCAACTAAAAAGAACTAAATGAAATATAAGGGAAAAAAATCAACTATTTTCTTACAACTTAAAGTCATTGCTTTCTCAAAGTCTTCAAGGTACTAGAGAATTCAGACAAAATCCCGAGAAGTCAAGCACCCAACACAACAGCCGACTTTGTAACAAAGAACGTCTGCCAACTGGAAGAAATGGTCAAATTGAGCTGTCTTTTGGGTCTTGAAGGACAAATGTAGGAAAGGCAAAGCTCAGAGCCCACAGGACAGCAGGCTACCTGTCCTCAGGAAGTGTCTCTCTTGCCAAGCCCTCCTGAAACACATGGGAACTGCAGCCAGCATGGCATCACTGACTTTGCAGAAAAGAACATGGCTGTCAGAGCAGCAGCATGAAACTGAAAGCCAAACCCAGATGTGCCTCTTGCATGTATCCAGTTCATGAGGAGATAATACCTTTCATCAAAACTCCAGCTGCTTTTCATCATGCAGATCTCTCCAAGGCCACCCTGCCCAGGAATAGATCCACTGTCCATTCTGAACCCCACCTGTGTCTGCTTGTGGAACAAACACCACCAAATTTCTCACTCCAGCTAATCATGTTGAGCAAATTATGGGAATACTTCCACTGTAAATAGTTGATATATGCTGACAAAGAGGAATTTAAAGTAGTATCATTAAACTGATGTTAAATCATTCAAGTTGCTCTGAGAAAACCATAGGGGAAAGGAGGTATTTGCCTAGGGAGACAGACCTGGGGGTGGGAAGGCCAGCTGCAGAGGGAAACCAGCCCTGCTGTCTGCTGACATGGGGAGAGGAGCCTCACCGTGAGTCCACTTCTCTGGAGAAGTGGACTCATAGCCTAGGATGACTCTGTCCAGCAGTGCAGTGACCGTCAGGCAAGGGCTGACATCACACATGCAGTCGCATGCCTAATGCCTCGCATGCTCCTCCTGAGACTGAAGGGGTGAGATCCAAGCCCCACTTTGTCTTTGAGCAACAAATTTGATGTTATGGGACAGGACAGTTAAGGCAGAAATCCAATTACTGAGCTAATTAGCACTTGAAGTGGTAAGCACTGAATTTGCAGGAGGAAGTTACTAGAGTGAGGCTCAGATTGCCCAGAGTGGCTGACACCTCACCTTCTGAGGGAAGTGGTGGAGAGCCCGAGGCCCAGGGGTCCCAGGTGGCCTCGAGGAGCCATTGCTCATCAAAAGTTAACACTGTGCATTCCAAATAGGCTATTGCCTTTGAAAAGACAGCTTTCCACTGGATGTAGTTTCAGAGGGTGTTCCCATTCCCTAAGGAGTCTGGTAAATGACTTTCTTTTGGCTCAGTCCCACTGTAAAAATTGTTTATTCTGCTGCTGAAAATTCCATTTGTCCTAGGTCTTAAGGTGAAATTAAAATTCCATTTAGGGACCGACCATGCAGACATGGGATTTCAGCCTTCATTAGGAAGAATTTTGTTGTTTGCTTTATTTTTCTGCCACCCTGGGCTCTTTTATTTCCAGAGTTGCCATGAGGGTATTTGGAAGGAAAATTGAAGCAGTGGCAGAGTGGTGTGTGGGGCATACGGCATTCTGGAGATGCAACAGAATCACGTGTTCTCCAAACCATCCATCCGAGAGGGATTGGTTCGTCCTCATTCACACGGGAGCTGGCCCAGCAGTTGTTCAGTGTTTGAGACAGGCATGGGAGAAAAACTAGAGGTTTCCCCCCTAGAATGTTGGCCTTTTTATTTATTCAAAATGTATTTCCTCCCCAATATCTTTTTATCTGCTCTGATTCCCACAAGACAGTTTCACAAAGTACACATTGTAAAATCTCTTCTTGAGCGCCATTCCTGACAAATGCTTGCCATGTATTAAGTCATATGGAGTATGTCAGTGGTCATGTTTAAACATAAGCCAAATCTGTGGCATCAAGTGATAGCCTGTCTCCTTCTTCCTACAGGTATCACGGGGACAAAACCCACAGCCTTATCTTTGACTGTTCACTCATTCAGCAAGTTCTTACTGACTACTGAGTGCCAATTGAAAACCAAAATGTTGCTCCCATAGCATGTAGAGTCTAGTTTAAGAAGTAGATATAGTCAGATAAGCACACAGAGACATATAGGATGTGGTGTGGGGTGGAGGCTCCAGAGTCAGCTGCCCTGAGTTCAAACCCTGGCTCCACCAGCTATTCAGTCCATTCCCTTGGGCACTTTACATCTCTCTGGTGCTCAACTGTGTCCTTTTCGAAAATGGGCATGATAACAGCATGTCTCAGAAGGAAGCTGTGTGAGTACAGTGAGCCAGGACCTGGAAAGTACCTGGATCAGGTGCACAACACAAGCAGGTGCTATATGAACATGAGTGGCCACCATTGTTAGTGACATTAACCAGGACGTGCTCCTATGGAGAAGTAGGATGTACAAAAGAGCATAGACAAAGGCCAGGCATGGTGATGCAGGCCTGTAATCCCAGGACTCTGGGATGCTGAAGCAGTAGCATCATGAGTTCCAGCCCAGCCTGGGCATTTAGGAAGACCCTGTTTCAAAAAAAAACAGGTTAGGGATATAGCCCACTGGAAAATCCCTGGGTTCAATCTCCAGTACAGAAAGAAAAATATGGAAGGAAAAAAAGAGCACAAAGAAAGGAGTCACCTGGCACAAAGTTCACAGCAGCTTTCAGAGAAAGCAAGTGGTGGAGACAAGAGAGATAAGAGGGCAGAGAGAAACAGTGAGGGGATGGAAAGGGACAGCTGCAAGGACAGGAAGCAACTGTCGAAAAAGATAAGGGGGAGGATGCTACCCAGAGCTGGAGGGTAGGCATGGTGAGGTAGGGAGAAAGGACTCCATAGCTGGGTCTTGGAAAGCAGAGGGCGGGATGACCACAAAACAGGGCCTGGTGAGTCACAGTCCGGGCTTTCCAGCATGTCAGTGAACCCTCAGTGCTTTCACTCTGTTCAAACCCTGTGCTCAGTGCTGACATGGTTCTTTTGAAATCCCTTTCTCAGTGGCTAACATGTCAATTTGGACAATATGAGGCTCCCACGTTTATCACTGTTGAACGTCATCAGTTTTGGAGGCTTGACGCCAACTTCTTATTTCATCATTGAAAGGATGCAGAAACCACAATGCTACCTTTGAAGCAGAGAGGAAGAACTGGCAGAGCAGACTCTGACTTCTTACAAAGAATTATGGGGATGTGTGGCATTTGAGGAAAGATGAAGTTGAAGGGTACACGTGGGTGGTCTGCATCTGTAAGGAGGTCACTTGGAGAGGCTGTTTTTGATGGGTCCCCTCTCAGAAGTCTAGAGTGAGTCACTAGTCCCTCATCACTGACTCTCAGAAGTAAAGGGTGATCACCACTGCATGGATTTCTGAAGCTGTGAACCAAGGTGACTGTCAGGGAGGAATCATGTTCAAAACTGGTTCTTGTGGCCATTTGTCACCATGGTTGCAGATGATCTGTCTCCTCCTAAGTTTGTAAGAGGTATTTTAATGTTAAAAGTTCAACCTAAGAAAGGTCTGTAAGAGTGCACCCAACTCATGTGATCAAATGGAGACAGTGGGTACCGATGTTCTGGAATCAATCTGGAAAGAGAAATACCTGTGTGAACAAACACTGCTCTCAGGTTCTAAAGGTGAGGGGCTTTTCCAGGGCTTTTCATGATTTTTACTCCATGGATCTGGTGTTCAAAGTTGTTTCTTACACAAGGCTATCCTCTCAAGTTGGAGAACTACTCATCTCTCCCTTCTGCATACTTCTGGTGCCTTTCCCCTCCTCTCTTACAATGAGACTCCTCTCTTTCTATAACACCCTCCAATTGAAGTGATTCTCCCACTTTAAGTGTGGGCTCCTCTATGTGTCCTGCTCTCTCTCTCAGCTCTGTAAACTAGCTCTCCAGCTGGATGGCAGCTAATCTTGACCTTCTACTCTTTTGTGGCCCCTTCTAGCACAAGGCGAGTGGACAATTCCAACACAAGATTGGCGGTCCAAATTGAAAAGGATCCAGGTAAGAAGATCTTTTGCTACCCATGATGGATCCTAAAGGGAAATTAAGTACACTCTTTTAAATCATGGTGGAGACAATGGACATCTTGGTAAATATCCCAACTATATAATAAAACCAAGTAAGCAGACTGATCAAGCAGCCTGATTTGGTCTGGAAATGCACTTCTCCATTATTTAGAACTGATTAGGTACTTAATCAGTATTGAATGACTCTGTTAAGACATTTTTATTTTGTGTATGGCAAACATCAAACACAAATTATAAACCTTGGGATGGTCTGTTAGAAAAAAAAATATTTTTTTGAAAAACATCAGCCTTATACTATCTTTAAAGGTAAACCATTCCAGGAGCCAGGAGCCAGAAGCTTTGGCCAAAATTAATCTACAGAAGGATTTATCAGCTAGAAAATTATTTGACTTTTTTCTTTCTGTAATCTATTTTATCTTTAGCCATTTTTATCTCTTCCTTCCTCTTATCCAGAATCCAAATTTCAACTGTAATTTTAACCAAGAAGTGGATATTTTTATTGATGTCACATCCTCCTTTGTGCCCAAGATTTTTTCTTGAAAGAATTGTATCATTCCCATTATCAATACAGATGCTCTTGTGACTGTATGAATTAAAAATATTGTTAAGCTGAAAATGTATGTAATACCCCTAACTTGCAAAACTTCCTAGCTTAGCAACAAAGCACACTAGGGGGGGTCAGTTGTTTCTCCGAGTGATCACAGGTCTGGCTGGCAGCTGCCCAGAATCATGAGAGTATCAGACCACATATTGGCAGCCAGGAAAAGATCAAAATTCAAAATTTGAAAAATGGCTTCTACTCAACCTATATTGTTTTCACATCATTTTAAAGTTGAGAATTGTTAAGTCAAACCATCTTAAGTCAGGACTATCTGTATTTGAATTGCATATACATGATTAATATAAAATCAGAATTTAAAATTTTAAAGTATGTGGAGAGCCAGGCTGAGTTTTGTTATAGAACTTCCTGTCATGTATCAGTAGTAACAGAGCTCTCTTGGTGTACAACTGTGCAATTTTGTGCCATAACAAGTCCACCGGTGTCATCTGTGTGGACAGTTACATAAGCACATAATGCTTTCAGCTGATCATAATTATCCTCTCATTTTCACTACTTATGCAGATGTGTGGTCAGCGTGTACTAGGAAGATACCCAGCATCAAATTTCTACTTTCAGTTATTTTAATTGGCTTGTTTTATTCAAATGTCAAATAGTTTGAACACTTAAGCAAATGCTAATTTTCTTACTTAGGTCTTTCCTTTAAAATACTAGAGTCTAAAAATCATCTTTAATTAGTGTCTTGGATGCCTGTGATTCATTGCAGAAAATGAGCATAAGAGCAGGTCAGACAGCTTCCAGTGTGGAGAAGAGCAAGTCAACTGACGCCTTGTTCAACCATGTGGTACACTCAGCACCCAGTTCCTCCCAGTGGTCATAATTGGGTGATAAGTGTGCCACTGTCAGAGCAGCTTTTAACTGCTATGGCGGCCCAGAAAAGGCCTCACTGTCTCATAGTCTTAGCTTTCAGACCTCTTAGCAACTGGCTGTGCCCTTCTTCATATGTAAGTGAACTTGGGACATCTCCACCTTGCTGAACCCATCATCCTGCCCTGTATCCCACCAGCACAGAGTGGGATACTTCAATGAGACCTATTATCTTGGATTTTCCAGAACCTGCTTCACTCCAATAGAAAACACAGGGGGAGCCTTGGATTTTATCTTCTGGACATTTCCTCTTTAGAGCAGTATTATACCTCTCTGGCTTTCCAGAGCCAGCATCCCACCCCCCTCCCCAAGAATAGCTGCTCCTAAAATAGAAGCCCTAAAATAAATTCTTCTCTTCTAGAACTTCTATCCGCAGGACCACAGACCAGGGAGACTTTCCAGTTTTTCAGTCTTCTCTTTAAAAAATTGTGTCCCTCAGCTTGAGAGATTCCAGAGGGAGGGAAGACACCAGGAGTATCCAGCAGGGAGCACATGGGAAAGACACAGCACACCCCAATTCCATCCCCTCCACTTGCGCCCTGACCTTCTATTGGGAAGCAGGGTATCTGTCATCCCATCTCCTTCCTGCATCCTTTCTTCATCCTCCTTGGGCATCACCATCCACTCAGTTAGAATACCTACTGCTATTGAGCAAACGGCCCCTGACTGCACCAGTTCTTGGGTAAGAGGCAGGACTAGAGCTCCGGGTCTTTGCTGAGGATGAAGAAGTGCATAGTCACTGTGGAGTGCAGCCTTCCCACTATAGATTTTCACCGCAGGGGACTCAAAGTCCTGTCCTAGTTACTAGTCAATGAATATCCACAGAAGTTTCACCCATAATCACCCAAATTGGCCGCAACCCCAAGGTCCTACAGCCCACAACAGATAAACACACTATATTGCAAAGGACCAGTGCTCCCTAAGGAAGCAGAACAAACACGGATGAGCACACAGCACAGAGGATGCCAGGTCTAAGTGTGGTCATGTGATGGCTCGCTTTTCTCAAGACTCTCGGAGTGGTACACTGGGAAGGACAGCTTTCACTCTCTGTGAAGTGCTCTGCAATTAAGCAGGCTTTGTGACCATATGTTACCAATAAGTGGCACCAATCTATGCATAGAAAATGATAATTTACATATATGTGTATATGTAATTTATATTATAATAAAAGATATTTTATATAATATGTAATACTAGCAATAATTATATTACATATCATAGCATGCATAAACTAAATATAAATATAAATTTATGCTGCTTAATATCTGTAAATTATACCTTATTGAATTTAACAAATAACAAAAACTGTCCCAGAATTACTTGAGGGGTGTGTTCCTAAAAACATTTCTCTTAAACTATGACCTATGATGTCATCTATTATTTAACAGATAGTTAGTTCTCACTATAGGTTGCACATTCTGCCAGGACTAAACTAGGACACAAGCATAAGCCAAGTCAGATCTTGACCTGTCTTTATTGAATTTATGATGTGGTAGAGAAAGCAGATGTTAATCAAATAATTGTATACCTATGTAAATCATAACAAAATTCCAGCAGTAATAAGTGTTTCAAAGAGGAACACAGCGCTGAGAGCCTGTAACCAGAAATTTTCTTACCAGAGGGGCAGCTTCTGGGAAGAGAGTCTGAAGAGCAGAAGCTGATAAGCCAGAGGACATGGAAAAGCAGCCTGGGGTGGGGGCAGCATCACCAAAGCGCAGGGTGGCAGGGACACGTGGTTCACTGGACTGGGCACAGCTTTGTGTCAAGTGAGGAGGAAAGCAAGGAACAGACAACACAGTGCCTCTTGAGCTGGGTGACTCAGGACAGTTTAGCTCTCACCTGTGATTGACAAAGTCTGCAGTCGCCCTATTGCAGGCCATGCGAAGAAGTCCTCTCTATCTTAGGGGCACTGAGAAGGTTTAGGAAATGGGGTTAGACAATGCTGAGGATCACATTCTGGTTTTCAACTTGGAAAGCTCATTCTGTTGCAGGTCCTGGTGAGCAAACAAAGTGAGCTACAGGGCCAAGGGTGTGGTCCATAGGAGCAATATTGTTTCTTTTGGATATGAGGTAAGAGAGATGGAGAAAGGTAGAAAGATTCAAAAAATACAAGAAGGGGATAAAGTGGAGTGGAAAAGAAAGTCCCTCATTATGGGTGCATGGATGGGGATGTGATCACTCAGATGTGAAGGTGGGAAATGGGTTGCCTGACTGGTGGAGACTTCAGAGGAGGTGTTAAGTAAGCATGCAGGTCTAGAGCTCAGGAATCTCAACGGGAGATAGGAATTTGTCATTTGCAATCATTTGTCACTTATCAATCCATGTATATAGAGGATATTGCCTCAGAGATTCTAGAGCAAAAAAATAGGATTTCATATAATCCACTAAAATAGTTGAAGCTTACATGAAGGGTCTGATTTTATCTTAATCTAATGACAAATCGTGTGTCCCAGATGTGAGCACTCACCAACCATATTTCTTGTCTGCCTCCAGGGGGTGATGACAACAACCTCAATTCCATCTTTTATGAGCACCTGACCAGGACACTTCAGGAGTCCCTGTGTGGAGACTTGGTTCTTGGTCGTTGGGGTAACTACAGCTCTGGCGATTGCTTTATTTTGGCTTCAGATGACCTCAATGCCTTTGTCCACCTGATCGAAATTGGCAATGGTCTTGTCACATTTCAACTCCGAGGACTGGAATTCCGAGGTAGGCATTATAGCTGGGGTTGGAATTCAGCAGCATGCAAAGTGTTAGTAAGAAGCCATCATGAAAGAGGCTTAAGAAAGATCTAAGCCAGGCATGGTGGCTATAATCCCAGCACTCTGGGAGGTTGAAGCAGGAGGATTGCCAAGTTTGAGCCTAGCATGGGCAACTTAGTGTCTTTGTGAGACTGTCTCAAAATAAAAAATAAAGAAAGGCTGGGGATGTAGCTCAATGTGAAGGCCCTGGGTTCAATCCATAGTACCAGAAAAGATGCAGTGGGGAACTTAACGCCTGATGCTTGAATGAGAACTGGGGGCTGCTGACTTCTACCTTTAAGCAAGGTGTTCTGATGTAAGCAAATGCACACAGCTGGGGATAATGATATGAAATGTCACCACATGTATACCTGTGGACTAGCAAAGCAGGACACTGGTGGACTTGATCCTCCTGGGAAAAACCCAGGAGCAAAAAGAGGCCATGGAGTTCCCCTGGCTCTAGTTGGAGTCAGCCAAATCCCAAAGAGAACCAGGGTTCTGCTGGGCACAGGTGTTGGGGTGCATAAATAAGTTAATGTTTCGGAGTTCTTTTTTTTCTGCAGAATGATAATATAAGAATGGCTACCTTATAAAGTCACATGATTGGAGAGCTTTCATGTAAATGAAGCATTACATGAATGTTCACTGCTTTGTGGCCACGGGGTTGGCCCCAGTGTTTTGGGACCCAGGAACTGGAGTTCTGTGGCAGAACAGGCAGAAAGAAGGATAACACGAGCAAGTGACATTTGTCACTATTCTTGGAAGGAGGCAAATAGGGTTCTGAGACCAAAGTCACTGCAGAGGGTTGGCTGAGGAGGTGCCCTGGTGCAGTGTGGGAGACCATCAAGGGAGGCGTGGAAAGGAGGGAGAAGGCTCTTATGGGGGTAGAAAGTAAAATGTGCTAAATGGAAGAATCAGGCCACAGCCGCCTGGGAGGACCAACAGCCTGGAGCAGATTTAAGTGTAGTTGCAGCATGGTGAAGGAGAGGCCAGCAGCTGAGGAATGTACAGTCTCACAGCCAAGTCAGGGAGCCTGTGGGCCTCTGGAAAAGGGATGGCTGGCTCTCTCTACACTCTGAGAGACTGCTATGGCAGCTCTGTGCAGTGTCCTGGAGAGAGGGAGTAGAGGAAGAAGGAGACTGTATGTGTGCCCTGCATTGGGACCTCCTAGCCAGAGATGATGGCAGAGATGAACAAATGGTGAGACCCTCTAAGTGGACACAGCAGGGGCAGATGCCAGGGTGCAAAAATGGGGCTCTGCATTTCCCCAGGGTTACAGGTCAAGTGCCTGTGTGGCAGCAGTGCACTTACCAAAGAGGAGGTCTGGACAAGGAGCCAGATCCTCTGGCTCAGAGAAGGGGTGTCATCAAGAGCTCCTTTTTTGATATTTTTGTTTTTAAATGCCCTTGACGTGTCCAAGTGAGAACATCAAGCAGCCAGTTGCACACAGTGCCTTTGTTTGCTTAGGAGTCGTTGGTTGGTGCTGACGCTGTGTGAGCACTGGGCAGGTGCCATGGATGGATACAGAGCAAAGGCCTCAGCCTAAGGGAACATGGATCCCCCAGAGCAGACAGCCCTGTGTGGGGCAGTCACTGCTACCTGAGACGACTGCCATGAAGCATCCGACTACAGCCACCCCAGGGACCAGAAGAGTGTATTGGGATCATATCTAGTCAGGGTCAGCTAAGCAGAGGAGAGGATGAGGCTGGAAGGGAGAGAGGAAGGGCTTTCCTTGCCAAAGAGTGGGGTGATGACCAAGAGACGCCCTGTTCTTAGTTGTGGTTTACAGCAGGTGGTTATAAGGATATGGTCCTTAGACAGATTGTAGCTGTCCAGAGCCTCTTTATAACAAAAAAATGCCTTTTAGCCGAAAACAAATACCCATCACTCTTCATCTTGAATACCATTACTAAAAAAAATCAAGTCTCCAAGTTCTGTGAAAGAGAATTTTTAAGCATTAGTTTTGTGGACATATAAATTTGTATAAAAAATGATGTTTGTTCTAGAGCAGCAGGCTTCATGTTTCAGGTATGCACTCTGTGCCTTTCTTGGAACTTCAGGTGTAGAAGGAGGGAAGAAAGGTTATAGGGCAGAGTAGTGGTCAGGCTCCCCAGAGAAACTGCAGAAGTTGATTTTGCCCTAGATTTTGCTTAGGTACCAGAACATGCCACCAGAGGTAGAAGCTAAGTGTCTCCAGTGTGATAGGGTAGCAGAATCTCCTCTGAGATTTTGAATTTCAGCTCTTTTGAGAGCTTTTTAGTTTTTCCTGGGATCTGAGGGAAGAAGTTTCAAAGCTAACCTGGTGGAACATGAGTTGTGGTTTCTATCACAAGTTCCTCACTGTTTTTAGCCTCATTAGCAAACTTAACCCATCTGTGAATTTAAAGGGTTCAAAATGAATCAGATTTTAGAAATTTGTGGTCCTTTTCTGTCTGAAGCTCCTCATCACAGACGGGGGTCCTTCCCAATCTTCCCTAGTAAATGTTTTGGTCTTAGCTCCTGTCAGTCGTCTCTTGAGGTGTAATGAACCACTGCCAAACCCATGGCTTGGGGTGGCAACACCATGATCTCGGGGTGGGTGGCTGCTGGTTATGCTGCAGCTCCTCCCTGAGGTCACAAGTGAAGCTGCATTCATCTGTCAGATGAACCAGCATGGAAGAGATCCAGGGTTCTAGGTATGGAGTCCAGGATTCTCCAGGGGGCTGGACTAGGTGTCTTCACAGCTGGTGAAGCCTAGTGGTGCTGGGCTCTAGAAGGAACAACATGGACACCGTAAGTTCTCTTAAGGCCCAACCTATAGGTCAGGTACTGGACCACTTCTGCCTTTTACTAGTAGTCAAATTCATTCCCAAGGACAGTCTGGATTCAGGAGGTAGAGAAAATGGCCCTGCCACATTGGACTGGATTGTGATGGCAGGGAGGCATGCATCACAGCGGTCAGTATTACAACATCCCAGACTCCTGAAATGTCATCAGGCAGAACACAGAAAGAGGTGGATGGCATGCCCAAGATGGGCTATGGTGGTGTAAGGTAGGATCTCCTGGGAGCCCTCTCTGCTATTGTTTCTAGGTTCTTCATCTTCCAGCCAACATGTCAGAAATGTCACCTGGCTGCAAGATCATCCCAACACAATAACAGCATTAAGAAAAACTGCTGGCATGGAGTCTGCCCCAAACTCTCATTCTCATGCGAGAAGTGTTCTCTGACTTAGCTCATACTTTGGAACCCCAGAACATTAAAAGAGCATGTGTCTGGACAAGGTGAATTGTGCTTTTTTTTCAGGAAGTCTGGCTGACCTGCAGTGACTACATTACTTATATCTCTTTGCAACATAGACCATGGTATTCCCAGGGAGAGTCTGCTTTCTCTTACCTCCTTGAGTATTGTTCTAAGCTTTCTTTCCCTACATTTCACTTTTCTTTTTGAATTCTCTATTTTCCCAAATAGCATCCTTTATTTTGGATAAATTTAATTAACTTCTCCACAGCCTGGGGCAGTCAACAAACAGATGGGCTCATCTCTCTCCCACAATCCATAGGAGGATCCAGCAGTGGTAACAGGAGCTGTTCATGTGCAGGCACTGAGATTCTGGCTCTTTAACCCTCTCCCTTTTAAAAAATCTGTGGTGGAGAACAAACTTAGGGCCTCTCAGTCCCAGGCAAGTGCTCTACCTCTGAGCTACACCCCAGCCCTGGCTCCTCTTTTAGATGTGAAAGACACACCTGGAGTAAGGCCAGCTCTCCACAGCCATGAGCCAGGAAACTGTTCTTTTTCCCTTGAGGGTGTTGCTTCTTGTCAACAGGAGTTCTGAGCTACAAGCCACAGAAACCAACTCTAGCTGTTTAAGCAGCTGGAGAGACTTAGAGGATAATGTGTCAAAGGACATGGACTTGTTGACCAGGCTGGCAAAGCAGGGTTGGCGGCTACTGGATAAGTGCCATGTCTTAAATCCCACTGCAGCTGGGGAGAGGCCTCATCTGCACAGAGGATCCAAGTACTGCCCTCATGTTGCCCACACCATGCCCTGGACACTGATTGTTCCTCTCTCCAGAAACTGGATGAACACCCCTGTTTCCACCTCCCTTCCAGAATGCACTCCCTTGACCTTGCCTCACTTCATTCCTGTTCTATTCATTTTGGCCCATGTATCCAGGGTAGAAATCAGTTCTCTTCTTGTTAACCCTAAGAAATAAGGATTGTGGTTCCCTTGCTGCTTTTGGGTTCACAGTACTACTTCCATCCACCAAACCAGGCAGTCTTTAAGGGTTGATACATCAATCATTGCTTTAAGTCTAAATCAGGGTAACAGAAAAAGCACACAAGAAGGCCAACAGGGTGAGGGACACCAAGTTCAAGGTTTTTCAGAAGAAATGAAATCTGTGGGGTTGGAAATCTCAGCTAAACATCATTCAAGTAAATATATACAGAAAGATGAAAAAGTGAGAGCAGATTATGTGTTCAACCCATTTCTGTTCTTCTCCGAACATCTTCTGGATGCAGGCAGGAAAGAGCATTAGGGCGACAACATAAGAAGGGAGAATTAGTGGAGAAATATAGTGTGAACATTGAGCAGCATAAAAAGCTCACTTAGGCTAGTGATCATGAGTTTAAAGAGAGATCTGTTAGGATGGTTTTCTCTCAGCCACAGTCAGCACAGGGCAGCATTGGAGTTACCAGGTGTGTGGCTGAGCCAAGTGAGCCAGGAAAGGGGACTAAGGATGTGTGCAAAAGTGTGATTATGATCGTGATTAAATGCCTGGTCACAGAATGTGAGCTGAGAAAGGAGCCAAGCGAGGGCATAGGGAGGTAGGAAGCAGAATCCAGTGATGGGACCAATGAATTGTGGGCCAGGAAAGGACAAGGATCATTGAAGTTGAGATATTAGAGGAAATGAGCTGCAAACATAGGAGGTGGTTTACTGGAGAGCAGGATGTTTGAGGCTGATATTTAGAGAGGGGAAGCCATTT